CAAAGAAAAGAATCTGGGAGAGTCCTGGACCAAATCTAACTACGTAAGGCCATGTAGACTAATTTTATTTAACTTCCTGACCATAAATCAGTATTCTGCCAGTTATTCTCCATCTATGCTTTGATATTCTTATGTTTTTGCTTTTTCTTATCTTTTCATTTTGTTTTTAAATAAGTTTCTCCTAGAGAAGTTAGAAATTACAAAAAATATAAAAAAAGAAAATTTAAATTATCTATAATCCCAACTTCCAGAGATAATTATACTGTTATCTATTTTCTATATGTTTTTTTACTACTATAGATCAGACAAATTAATCTTTTAATACCATTAATGCCAGTTAATACCATTCACCATAAAGGTTTATATTCTGTTTTTTTTCACTTAGCAGTTGGTTGTAAGCATTTTTATTTATTTATTTATTTATTTATTTATTTATTTATTTATTGAGATGGAGTCTCTGTCACCCAGGCTGGAGTGCTGTGGAGCGATCTCAGCTCACTGCAACCTCCGCCTCCTTGGTTCAACCGATTCTTGTGCCTCAGCCTCCCGAGTAGCTGGGACTATGGGTGTGCACCACCATGCCTGGCTAGAGATGGGGATTCACCATGTTGGCCAGGCTAGTTTTGAACTCCTGACTTCAAGTGATTCACCTGCCTCTGCCTCCCAAAGTGCTGGAATTACAAGCATCAGCCACAGTGCCTGGCCAGTTATAAGCATTTCTGACATCATCAACTATGCTTTAAAACTGGACATTTTCATATATCTTACTGTTTGAGCATAGCTTGGACAGCATATGCCAGTCCTGTCTTGAAAGTGGAAATTGCTGGTTATTTGTGGTTGTTGCTCAGTCTCTTAAACAGACCTGGTTTTTTGTTTTCAAGGACTCCATTTCCTGGAGGAACTTGTCTGTTAGACCCTTAATCTTCTCCGAATAGTTCATGTCCTTGAGTCGGAGTTGATACTCATTCTCCATTTTTAATTCCTCCACACGAGTCTTTAGCTCCAACATAACCTGGGCCTTTGGGAGAAGGACAGAGAATCAAGAACACTGACAGTGAGGGTGAATCAGAATATTTAAACTGGTGACCTTGACGTGAGACCTGCAGCTCTGCCTAGCTTCAAACTCAATGTGCCTCAACTAGAACTTGTCATCTTTTCCCCAGGCGATACACTGGCTAAAAACAAGGAGAAAGATGAGCTTCCTCCTCTATCCTCAAATATCCTTCCTTATACGTTGTGTTGGTAATGCACTCATCTCTTTCAAGTTGGCTTAAATGTCTCCTGCCTGATGAGGCTGACTTGGACCACCCTGTTTAATTCTGCAACCCCTTCCCATTCCCAGGACCCATCACCTCTCTTACTCTGCTCTACTTACTGCTTCCTTAGATCCTGTACTTTCCATAATTTACTGATTATTTTGTTGATTGTTTTTATTCTTCTTTCCCCGTTAGAACTTAAGCTTCTCATTGGCCAGAGTCTTTGTAGGGTTTATTTGCTGATATATCCCAAGTACTGGAACAGTGTCTAACACAGAGTAGGAGCTCAGAAGATATTTACTGAAGAATGACTCCTGTCCCCGGGGAACTTAGAGTCTACCATGACAGCCAGATAAACCATTATAAATCGTGGTAAGTGCCCAAAGCTGGGTAGTTCTCAGTACTGTCAATCTGTCCCTCTTGATGTCTTCTTAGACTCACTTTTATTATTTTATGTCCTAACTCTCTGTCTTCCTGGTTTTTTATGCCTAGTGTCTTCTTATTCTTATTTTTTTCTTTTTTTGAGACAGGGTTTCACTCTGTCACCCAGGCTGGAGTGCAGTGGTGTGATCACGGCTCACTGTAGCCTCGACCTCCTGGGCTCAAGTGATCCTCTCACCTCAGCCTGCCAGCTACCTGGGACTACAGGCATGCCCCACCACACTTGGCTAATTTTAATATTTTTTGTAGAGATGGGCAGTCTCATGATGTTGCCCAGGCTGGTCTCGAACTCCTGGGCTCAAGTGATCCTCTTGCCTCAGCCTCCCAAAGTGCTGGTATTATAGGCTTGAGCCACTGTGCCTGGCCTAGTGTCTTTTCCCATCGTACTCACCGATGCCAAAGTTTTCTAAAAATGCTGTAATACACACACCCTTCATTTCTAAAAAAGCTACTGTTGATGACAGAGTGACCACAGAATGCAGTGTTTTCTTCTTGCTTATCTATGGGGACACCCCCTGCATCCCTATCTCATCATTTCTGGTCTGTCTCCTCTAGCACCTGTGAACGAGCTGACATCAAGGAACGGATTACGCACATTTCTGCATTCCTGGCCAGCAGACTACTGTTGATGTGGTGCACAGGAAGTACTGAGATGAAGGATAAGCACAAACTGCACGGGCAGAGTCAGAGAGGTGGGCACGAATGCCCGGCCAGGGTAGGTGATATGGTCCAGGTGGGAGGCACAGGAGGAGGCCGCCAAGACTGTGTCTTGACCATGCTAGGAAGTTTGGAATTTATCCTAGAGGGCTTCAAAGGTCCTCATTGAACCTGATCAGGCTGACTTTGGGGTTATAAAGACCTCTCCAATGCCGGTATGCAGCACAGGTTAGATTAAAGGACCAAAGGCAGGATGATGAGTTGCTGGGGTGGGTCGGGGGGAACTGCACAGACCAGGTGAGAGATGGACGGTTTGGAGTGAGGTAGGGAGGGGACTGGAGAGGAATGGAGAGGTTGCGTTTAGAGAGAGTGGTGCCTGATTGGGTGTGGGTGGAGAGGTAAGGATCATGGATGAAGGCTGTCTCCCAGGTAGAAGGGCCAGTACCTGAGGGTGGGGCTTGGCCTGTCTTGCTTTGCTGCTTTATCCACAGAACCTAGAATAAGACTAGCAAGCTGGTCAGCATGGAATAAAGACTTACCAATGATCCCAGGGGTCTGCCCTGGCTAGTGGGATACATTTATCCGTGGGGATGACCTGGCCTTTGACATGCTGTGTTTGAGGTCCTCGTTCAGTGTCCTTCCTCCACCTATTCTCCACGTTGCTGCAGAGTAATCTCTTTGAGACGCGAATCATATGAAGTTATTCCCCAGCTTAAATCTATGAGCGGTCCTTATGAACAATCTCCAGCCTCATGTATGGTGTAAAAGGCCCCCGACCTATCTGTTTCTCTCCAGCATCGTCTTCAGCCCTTCTCTCTGGCACACCCTAACTAGGAGCAGCTTTGCGGACCACCACTCCCTCATCCCTCTGTACACACTCACTGCTTATCGCTCAGTGGCCCTTGTCCATTTGTTCTGGAAGGCTCCGAGCAAGGCTCATGTCCTCTGGCACCACCGGGCCTGAGCCAAGGTCCTTCCCCTGGGCTCCCACAGCACTGTTCTTCCATGACACTTAATCTCACTGCACGCTTAATTCCCTTTTTTATGATACTCTGCCCTCCTCCCAGGCTATAAGCTAAAGGATGCTCTATGTCTTTTATCTCTGTAATCCCAGACCTTAGTATAGTGTCAGGTACATAGCAGACCCCTCTGTAAATCCTAGGCAGGGAATGAATAATAAGTGAGTAAATCATGGCCTGAGAGTTACATAGACTATAATGGAATATAAAGGAAAAGATAGCTGGGAATTCTGGGAACATGCTTTTTAAGGGACAGGTGGAGGAGGAGCCAGCACAGGAGTGGGAGGAAGAGTCAAAAAGGTTTACAGGGGACAGACTGTGGTCACATGGATGGTAAGACACAAGGGAGCTTCAAGAAGTGAGCGGTACAAGTGCGAGTCATCTCTAGCCTGGCAGCAGTACTGTCAGGTCCGTGTGGGGCTGCGCTCAGAAGTCAGCTTGGGCACCTTCAGGCCTTTGCTTCAGCCTGCTGTTTCCTATTTGGCCTCTTCCCCTACCCTGGGGGAAGAACAGAAAAGATAAGAGAGAGGAGGAAGGGCCCCTTCTGCAGCAGGTCAGGCGCCCATTCTCATGGGCCCTCCCTTATCCTCTTCTCCCTCTTTGCTTTTCCTGCAGAAAATTCTAGGGAGCTCTAGAAGGGATCTCCAGCAAATGCCAGGGACTTGTCACCCTGCTTTGTGGTAGTGTTGCATTGCTGCTCCGTGGCTTTGCTTGTTTCTATCCCTCACTTGACTGTGAGCTTCCTGGTCATGTCACAGGGCCCATGCCTGTCTTTTCAGACAGACATGCATCCCCAGTGCCTGGCAAATGGTAGGTATTCAATAAACACACTTAGATTTTGGATGAACAGCAACGGCTGTGTAGCTTTGCGATCCTCCATGAGCCGCGAGTTTATCATCCATTCAGCTTCTTCCTTAGGGAGCGCAGCACAGAGCTACGCACTCATATCTCTGCAAAACGCACCTTTGCGGAGTGTTTACTGCATCAACAGGAAGGAAGGGACGTCCCTTTTGTATAGTGATTAAGGGAGGGGGCTCTAGATTAAATCTGGATTAGAACCCTAGTCCTGTTACTTATCAGCACACTGACTTTGGACACGTCCCTCAAACTCTCCTAACTTGTTTTTCGAAACATGGGGAGAATGACAGTATCTTCTTCATAGAGATGTTGTGAGATTTAAATGAGAACATACTTTGCTTCTGGAAGTATTTATTGATTGCCTTCCATGTGCCCAGCATGTGCTAGAAATTGTTGGTTATATAAGAGAATTGTATGTTTCGTTGCTCTTGGTTTCAGAGAGTAGGAAGAGGAAAACCAGATCACAGAATAAAAGCTAAGCACGGTGTAAGGCAAGATGATCACATGGCAGGAAGACAGGCAGAGTAGGGTGGGCAGTGGCAGTGAGGAGGACAGCCTGTCGTGTGGACAGAGGGTGTGCAGGGAGCTGTGGGGTCTGCACTGGGCACAGGGTGTAGCCAGGCTGCAGAGGGCCCCGGTGCCGGACCCCCGTCTGAATGTAGACTGGTAAGGCATTCCATGTCCCTCTTCACTGGATCAGTTCTTACCTTTTCTTCCATGTCTGTTTTAGTCACAAGCACCTCTTCCGCAAAGCCCACCTCCCTCTCTCGCTTGATTCCCCGGCCATCCTTATCAAAGACCTTCCAGGTGAATAGGCAGCCGTCCTCAGCAGTGGTCAGCAGGAATTGATCATCAAAGGTAAGCAACATCTGAAGAGAAAAAGGTCATGGCAAGGAAGCTTTCAAGGCCACAGATGACCAGGGCTGAGCCAGCTGTCATGCAAGGCTTCTCCCCATGCAATCCTGGGCACAGCCTCACAAGGGAGGTAGACCTGATCCTGGGTGAGAATGAGACAGGAGGCTTCACAGTCATCTGTTAATGAACAGAAGAAGCAAGGTTATGTCTATGTTCCCTGTGGATTTGGAATATGAAGAGTCGGCTGTTATCTAGAGTGTATAAGGAACTCTCAAAACTCAACAGTAAAAAAGCGAAACAATCCAATCAGAAAGTAGACAAAAGGTATGGAAAATACACAGATGGCAAGTAAGCACATGAAGAGATGTTCCACAGTATTAGCCATTTAGGAAAATACAAAATTAGGGCCATGATGAGATATCACTACACACCCATTAGAACAGCTAAAATAAAAAAGTGACAACACCAAGTGCTGGCAATGATGCAGAGAAACTGGGTCTCACACATTCTTGGTGGGAATGTAAAATGGTACAGCCACTCTGGAAAATAGCTTGGCAGTTTAAAAAATAAAAAACTGAATATACGCTTATCGTACGATTCAGCAGTTATACTCCTGGGCATTTATCCCAGAGAAATGAAAACTTATTTCCACACAAAAGCCTGCATATGAGGTCACAGCAGCCTTATTTATAATAGCTGGAAACTGGAAAAAATTAAAAATATCCTACAATAGGTGAATGGCTAACCAAACTGTGATTTGTTTTTAATGGAATACTATTCAGCAATAAAAGGGAATAAACTATTTTGGATATACAACACAACTCAGATGGATTTGAAGGGATTAAGCTGAATGGAAAAAGCCACATTCAGGACATTAAGCTAAAAAGCTTCTCCACAGCAAAGGAAGCAATGAACAGAGCAAAGAGAAAACCTGTCAAATGGGAGAAAATATTTGCAAACTATTACTCTGACAAAAGACCAATATCCAGAATACACAAAGAACTCAAACAACTCAACAGTAAACAGACAAACAATCCTAAAGATCTCATTAAAAAGTGGGCTAAGGGGCCGAGCACGGTGGCTCATTGCCTGTAATCCCAGCACTTTGGGAGGCTGAGGTGGGTAGATCACCTGAGGTCAGGAGTTTGAGACCAGCCTGGTCAACACGGTGAAATTCCGTCTCTTCTAAAATACAAAAATTAGCAGGGTGTGGTGGCGGGCACCTGTAATCCCAGCTACTTGGGAGGCTGCGGCAGGAGAATTGCTTGAACCTGGGAGGCAGAGGTTGCAGTGAGCCGAGATCGTGCCATTGCACTCTCCAGCCTGGGTGACAAAAAAAAAAAAAAAAAAAAGAGGGCTAAGGACATGAATAGACATTTCTCAAAAGAATACATACAAATGGCCAACAGGTATATGAAAAAATGCTCAACATAACTAATCATCAGGGAAACGCAAATCAAAACCACAATAAGATACCATCTTACCCCAGTTAGAATAGATATTATTAAAAAGACAACAACGAACAGATTATGGTGAGAACATGGAGAAGAGAGCTCTTATACACTGTTGGTGGGAAGGTAAATTAGTACAACCATTAGGGAAAACAGTATGTAGACGTCTCCACAAAACTAAACATAGAACTACCATACAATCCTGCAATCTCATTACTGGGTGTTTATCTAAAGGAAAGGAAATCAGTATATTGAAAGGATACATTAGAACTCATTTCTTCTTCAACCTGGCACAGTGGCTCATGCCTGTAATCCCAACACTTTGGGAGGCCAAGGCAGACAGATCACTTGAGGTCAGGAGTTCAACACCAGCGTGGCCAACATGGTGAAACCCCCATATCTACTAAAAATACAAAAATTAGCCAGGATGGTGGTGCATGCCTGTAATCCCAGCTACTTGAAAGGCTGAAGCAGGAGAATTGCTTGAATTCTCCCCATATGTATTGTACCACTGTTGACAATAGTAAAGTTATGGAATCAACCAAAGTGTCCATCAATGGATGAATGAATAAAGAAAATGTGGTTTATACACCCACTGAAATACTATTTGGCCACAAAAATGAATGAAATCATGTTTTTGCAGCAACGTGGATGGAACTTCCATCCGGAAGTTATGTGAAATAAATTAGGTACAGAAAAAAAAATATTGTATATTCTCATTCATATGTGGAAGCTAAAAAATGTTGACCTCATGGAGGTAGAGAGTGGCATGACAGATGCCAGGGGTGAGTGTATGGGTGGGTGGGGTGATAAAGAGAGATTGGTTAACAGGTGCAAACATTATATTGAAGAAATAACTTTTCTTTTTCTTTTTTTTTTTTTTTTTTTTTTTT